GAACGTAAGTTTATATTTTTGCACTCGTGAATATTTGGTCCACGCTTGATTCGAGTAAAGGCATTCTTTTTTCTCTTGGACGAAATCTGAATGTCATCATAAGGTACGAGGTCGGCATAAAACTGCATTGTATAACTAAGGTTTTCAGTATATTATTCCCATGGGGATTTCGCCGGGACTTAACCAATTAGTCGTAAAATTCGGGTCGTCGTGAAAACGGGGGACGTATAATTGAAGTTCCACTGTATCATAAACAGCCTTTTCTAGTTAATTTTTTATACAAGTATACTTTTGTAATGCTGAAATAAAGACATAATCTTCTTTTTTCTCTCGATGTGAAACCTTGTTTTGTACTTCCTTATAATGCTCACAAGTAAAAGCTAGCAGCACAGACCAAATGATGGGAAAAGCCTGATTGTCCCGACACTAAGCGCTGCCAACCATAGCATAATGTCTCAAAATTCCACAGCAAGGACATGCCCGTATAATTGAACTACCAAGTTGTTAGTAATGAGTGGACAGCTCGGTTGCATTTTTCGCAGTTTCGCCCATTCATTGTCTTTTTGTTCCTGCATTTGTTGTGTCCGCTTCGTCACCAGTGTCTGAATTGATTGTGCGCAAATTCACGGCTGCTTGCGTGACTCACAACGCCAAAATACAAGACATTGGCACTTTGAGAGGTGTCCTTGATAGAGGAGGCGTGCACCAACTTGCAGAGAGGTTTTTGTCGACGCTTTCGGCCATCTTGAAAAATAAGAAGAAGGTGTTCGAAGCGTACGAAAAAACGCATTTATCGAAACTATCCAAGATTTGTTTTCGGGCGTACCTGGACGTTGAAGTCCCTTTAAGGGGGGAGGTGGCTTTGAAAAAAAACTTTTTTATTTGTTGACCTACAGCAATGAAATTTGGCATGCATACTCATAAGTGTCTAGAATAGGGAAATATGCAGTTTCATCATGATAGCTTCAGTAGTTCTCAAGTTACATAATGCTACACGATCCAATTACATGGTCTGCTCGTGGAAAGCCTAGCGCTGCAACAAAACATGCCAGGAGGCTGCGAATGGTGTTGATCTTTACTCAAAAGAAAGCTACAGGGTATGACACTCTCGGAATTTTTTAATAAGTTCTCGTTTTTTTTTAGAGATCATCATGGCTGCCGACACACATTGTCAGAAACAATGGCACGGACAAATCATCGTCTAGAAAAATAACAGGGCCACAAAACAAAAATTGAAGATTGCTGTACCCACAAGCAGTGTTCACGGATTCAGGAAAAAAAAAACAGAATCAAAATCGGTCCAGTCATTCTCGTGCTACTCTTTCCACGAGCAATGCACAATGTCCAAAACACACTTGTGAGAAAAAGCCTGTCGAAGTTTTCGACAGGCTTTTTTTCAATGAACTTTTTTGTTTCTCGTTGGATATTGATGAAAATTGGCACAGACACTAAGAATAACCTCACAGTGCTTTCATAAAAATTTTGAAGCGATACCACAAATACTTTACGAGAAACAGATTATTTCTTCACTGAACCATGTGGAGGGGCTGAGCATAATTTCAAAAAAAAAAAAAAAAACAGTATTGAGAAAGCTGCGTTTAAAGTTTCAACTTTTCTTTACGTCTCTAAGACACCTAAAAATTGTGATCTCAGGTTTGTCTTGTGATATTTGACTTCTTTTCATGATTTACTCCTTTTCATGAGTTACAAAGAACAAGTATGAATTTCAAACCAAGTTCTTTGTATGAAGGAGTGGTGTCATAAGTATGACAGAAAAGATTGTAATTGAATAAAACCATATACTGAAATTATTAAACATACTTTTTTGTGCTGAAGTTGTAATTAGCGTAATTAAGTACTTGATTACAAATATTCACTTTTTCAAACTTTCACTTTTTCAAATATTCACTTTTTCAAATATTCAAACTTTTTTTTATTTGGAGAGAAGTTTATTGCATCCGAAAAATGGATCACACCATGACGGCCTATGCCTTCTTTCCAAATAACAAAGTTATGGGCAGAAGACTGGTGGCACGGGAATTTCTAGCAGTATAATTAATGACACGAAACGGGCATATAAAAATTCGTGCCCCTGATTCACACATGCTCTTTCGCCGCTCTAGCCGTGAAACGCATCATCATACAGCCGGTCGCGGAAATTCTAAACTACAGCAATTCATTAACCTCGGAACATTCATAGACGTTCGTGGAGATATCAAACACGGCTCCAAGCACGTCTGAATCGCATCACAAAAGCTTACTGACGGCACTCCATATGACCGTGGGGTGCGCGGCCGCGTGGACAGAGCAGCCGGCGCGTAATGCACTTGCCGGCGGCGTTCGATGACGATCCGCGAAATGAGTAACTACGAAGACAAAAAATCGGCACGCACTGCACTTGGCATCGCATTTTCGAATGACGACGCGCGAAACTGCTAGCCGCTGTTCCGAGCGATCCTTGGCAGTGAAGGGGGGAGGGGGGGGGGGTGACGAGCTTGACTGTGTTGTCCGCTGCCGATGCGTAAAATGCCCGTACAATATTCGGAGGAGCTAGCGAGTGATGTGGTACATTCCTTGCGAAGAAGCACGTCACCAAGAGTGCGCTTGCGCGTCGTTCCTGCCCGCAGTCTCGCTGTCAGCGGGAGTTGGGCCTAAAGCCGACTCCGATGACGCGCCGCACTCGTAGACCGCCGCGCGCCCGCTCGTAGTAATCTGATCGTGCATCCGGTGCGGCCACTCGTAGTAATCAGATCGTGCCGCCGCTTACAGCTTCGTTGCTTGCGAAGAAACACGTCGCCACGAATGCGCTAGCGGGTCGTTCCTGCCCGCAGTCGGCGGAGTTAGGGCTAAAGACGACTTCAATGACGCGCGGCGCTCGTAGACCGCGCTGACGCTCGTAGTAACCTGATCGCGCATCCGCTTACTGCTCGTAACTAAAGCGTAGTTATATCTTAAGTGATTATCAAGCCGTGAACACGTCACGAAGTGGCGATTTTCGAGAGCCATGTCCTCGCGACGCACAAGCAGCAGACGACGATCTCCCGGAGCGAGCATCGGGCCAATGGCGAGGCGAGCTGAGGCAACATGGCGGCCACGGCCAATCAAGGGCCTCAAAACGACCTTCAAACATTTGCTTTTTGCTCGCTTGTTAAAGGGAGGAGCCAGCGAGGCGGGAAAGTTAAACACGGAAAGATGCTCTTTCCGATGAGCCCAAGAAGCCGGCTCCCGGCCCAAGCATAGCGAAGCTATTATTTTTTGAAAATCGCCGTTTTCTCGCCATTTCCAGAAATATTTTTGCTACCTAGGTGGGTGAAACGAATTTTCCGAAGCACTTCTGCGCGGTTTTCAGTGTAGATATTTTGGAACCACATAGAAAAAGGGTTCCAGAAACTGAAAACTTGAGTTTCAAAAAAATCGATTTTTTTGCCATTTTTCGCGATCCCAAAGCCGCGTCCCCCCTTAATGAAGTTGCTTCAGCATGCGAAAGCAGCTCACCTACACGTGAACGGATCCATTCTTCAAAAGACGCACTGGCACTATGCCTCAGCTGTGCAGTAACGGTTGGTTCTCTTGATTTCAAGAGCGAAACAACCTTACGTACTTGGCAGTGTGTGGGGAAAGGGGCAGCATGAACTCAGACTGACGTACTTTGGCCACCCCTGTTTTCGGAGTTTGCAGAGGACAAGGTGCACAGCTTGGATGAAGCCGCCTTATTTTATAAGATGCTTTCTTTGAAAAGATTCGCTGCAAAATACACTGCTGTATCAGGGAGAAAACAGCCTAAAGAAAGGATTTCTATTTTGTTTGGGGCGAACATGTTGAAAACGACAAGCTCTCACTGCTTGTCATTGGCAGGATGTCCTAAGCAAGCGCGCCTTCTCATAAAAAATGTGTCATATACTGGCATAACAAGAAGACATGGATGACGACAGCAATATTCGAGGAGTAGGTGCAGCTTCTCAAGCCAAAGTTTGCTGCCAAAGAGCTCTTTGTAATTGATAACTGCCCAGCCCACGGTAACATTGGGAACCTGAAAGCCGTCAAGATCGTCTTCCTCCCAGCAAATACAACAGCCATATCGCAGCCGATGAAAAGGGTGATTCTTCAAACGAGCAAGATGTACCGACACCACGTATTGAAGAGGGTATTGCTCTGTTACGACAATGGAAAGAGTAGGAGCCAAGAGCCATCAAGCCCTGCTTTGTGCATTCCAGGTTTTGCAAATAAGGGGGCAAAGATAAGGATGTGTGAAGCTCTAACTGATGTGTGCAGCTCTAACTGCCTAGACGAAGGAGACTCGATGTGTGCCAGGGTCACGGATGCCGGTGAACACAACGGTAAAAGACTCTGCTTCGCGGAGCACTCAAATGTTGAGGCAGATGTCCAAACATCGTATGCTGACGTGCATGATGAAATCGTCGACAGTGAGCGAGTCGGCGATGACGGCAACGCTGGTGACATTAACGAACCAGCCCATGTGCCCGCTTTAGCAGCTATTGTCGATGCCGTGAGCACTTCCCGAAGCTTTGTCGCGTGCAGTGGTGGTGATAGTGAAATGCTAAGTGTTGTGAGCAGGCTAGAAAATATAGCACTTGCGACCACAATAAGCAACTCAGCGTCACTGATTATTTCGAGTAACTTTTTTTTTCTCTCACAAAGAATGACTGTGATTTCATTTTTTGTAGTGTGCTTTTTTTCTTCTTAATTTTGGTCAATTTGAAAATCTGCCTAATTCAAAGAATTTTCGGGGCACAGCAGCCCTCGAATCATCAAGGCTTTACTGTAGTGTGCTTGAGCAGTACCACTCAAATTGAAAATCGTCCACAGGCTTTTGTCAGCAGGGTAAAAGGGTGATGAAGGGTGTTCCACTGCAAAAACTCATGCCCAGCTGTATTGACTTTTCGCTGAGGCACACAATATATTGGGCAGCAAATATAGAAAGCGTGAAGTATGCAGAAGATGTTCTAGCCAATGTGCACTACGCTGCTTGGCACACTGACCTACGATCTCGATCTCGTTTCCATCGTCCACTTCCCGCTCGGTGTCGTCCAGCGACTCTGGCTCTGCCATGTCCTCCTCCGGCACATCCGATTCTCCAGGGCCGCGACTCTGCAAATGAATCATCGGCATGAGAGCAATCAGTCATATATTTTATATTTTGCATTTGCAACATTTACCGCTACATATTGTTCTGAAAGGGGCCAAAGAGAAAAGTAGGGGTGTGCGAATATTCAGACTTTCGAACACTCTTCTAATAGTGTTTGCTATTTGATTCAATTCACACTTGAATTTTAACTATGTAAAGTATTCAAACTTCCCGAAAACCAACTCAGTCTCCATCCAATTGACAGTCGCCCCTTCAGATTTTTAATATGCTTCACCCCATCCCAATCTCGCACTCTAGTAGAGCTGCCTTTCAAACTGTTACATTAGCAAATTTACTGCCTCTAGAAAATGCTGGTTCCGACATGGAGATGCACTGTGCTGTTACAATAGACCCTTGATTTTTTAACATGAAAGTGTTTCATGCATGGGTGCAGCACGGCTCTGTTGACGTATTTCTATCACGGATACGAATTTGTAAAATGTATACTAATAGATTTTAAAGAAAAAAAATGGCAGACGCCACATGCAGTTGGAATCGATAATATGGGAAGCACACGTGAAAAAGGTTGATATGCCACTTTAAAATCAGCAAAACGTTACGAGGCGGACGTAAATTATGCCATACATGACTTCCATGTAATAATTATTATGTCGGGCACCTGGTATTTGTGTTCGTCGTCCATTCATGTCACATAATACCAAATTTAGTATACACTCGAATCTCAATATAACGAAGTCCACTACAATGAAATTTCTGCCATAATAAACAATTTTCTATTCCCGGTCAACCATCCATAAAAAACAATGTGAAAAATGTCTCGTCACCACGAATACTTTTCCTTTCCACTTTAACGAAGCTATTACGAGTACTACCTTATAAAAAAAAAAAAGGAACTAGCCAAGAATTGCCCCAAAATTCCACTACTAACTAGGCCATTTTCTCGATGGCTTGTAACATCCAGAGCGTACGGCTGTATCGCATCAACAGTGTCTTCATCAGAGACAAGCTTTCTGCCAGCACACGCACATCCCGCTAAATTTATCTCCATTGAGATGCTCTGCGACAGCTTGCCCATCCACCATAATGCTGCCGGTGGGCTTGATGCATGTTGTTACAACTCGCACCGCCGCTGGCACTGTTGCGTAGTGCGCCGAGGTCATAGGCCACCAAGGTCACCAGCCGTTTGATAGCGCGTGTTTCTCAGCTCGCGACTGCTTCTGGGCCGAGCTGATAGATGAGCAGACAAGACAAAGGTGAGTTAGGGCACGGTTTATGCATAGCATAGATATAGAGTCGTTACATATTCGGCTCTGGGACTGACAGCCTGGGGACTCGAAGAGACGAGATGTCTTCTCTCTGACGCATATGTCGGCTTCTCTCTGACACATAGGTCAGCTGCTTGGCGAAGCGTTGCGTGGTTTTATAAGGCCCCAGGTGATCCTATACGTCATCAACATCTAATCAGAACTGCCGCCCGGTCGCGTCAGAATCTCCCGATGGGGAGCCGCTGCTGGGTTGTGTCATGACCCTCAAATTCAGAGCCGCTGCGCTGGGTTGCACCCCAAGGATGATTGATGTTGCCACACATTGCGTAAGACTTGCCAGACTGGATGGCGCCGCTTGCATCATCGAGCTGCTATTGGGCCTGTGAGTTGAGGGAGCTCCCCGTACATTGCCCAAGACACACCGGCGCGTCGGGTTAGGTGACTACATTGAGATGATTGCGTCAGGTGGGCTAGCTCTCGGGCTTTGACACAGATTGCTTTTGCAAAGGCAATGACGTTCGGTCTGAACTCTCAGACGTAACAGCCCCCCCCGCCGCCAGACTATGTGCCGCAAAGACGAGCTGCTTCCACATGGCTCGGATGTCGGGCGCGCTCGTTCGCCACGTCCCTCTAGGCATGCCTCTAGGGCCAGGCAAAGGATGTGGCCCCAGGCTCAGTCCCGTGAACACATCCCATTCTTGAGGATGGATCCCAGCTCCACTGGCTTGTCGCCTCGCCAAAACTTATCGCCTAGCTTTGCTCGTCCCTTCGGATGATTTTTGGTCTCAGTACTTTTCGATGGTTTCGCAATTTGTCAGAAATGGTCCGACAACAGACAACACACGACACAAGCTCGGTTACCCAATAGAACACCAGACAAAGTATAGTACAACCAAAACCTAGCTACGTGTCTATCAGGATTTCGTTCCCTCTACATCAAGAGTCACATGTAGAACGACACTAGATTCTTAAAATGAGAACTCAAACTTTTTTACCCATACAACAACGTAAAGAAATAGAATACAGTGCAGTCCACTTATAACGATATCGAGAAAACCTAAAAATATGATCGTTATAACCGGTGATCGTTATATCTGGACTGCCGCCAAAAAATCGTCGCCGGACGTACCTTTTGTAGCTCCAGGCTTCATTTCGCTATTTTCACCAATTAATAAATATTGTAGATAGTAGGATGTCAAAAACAAGACTTTATTTCTTACTCCGGAGAACGCATCGCGGGTTCGCTGAGGAAGAAAGACTGACCGACGGCGGGGTGGGAGCAGTGGGAGGAAGAAAGCACAGCCAGAGGTACACAGCCGGAATGCCAACCAGGCCCCGCCCCGATGCCGCCGCGCCGCTTTGCTTTTCGCTTTTTTATTTTCTTTCTCTTTCCCGCTTTCGTTCCGGCTTGCCGTTGTAGAAGGCGGGGAGCCGCGGAGCGCGGCGCTTTGCTTTTCGCATTTTTTTTAATTCTCTCAGCCTCTCCGCAGTCAACGCGCGGCCAGGCGCAAAACGTGACACAGCTGGCGCCATCTGTAGCGCGTCGCGCCAACTCGCGATGCTCTCCTCGGCTTTTTGAACGGCCGGGACGCGCTGCCGGCGCTGTGCTGCAGTGGCGGCAGATACGTACTCGCCTACGCTAACTTTTCGTCTTGTCTCGGCATAGTTCGTTTCAGAGGAACTTATCAATCTAAATGTTACGATTATTCTGAATGAAACATGCCGTCCACGGCAAACTTTTCATCGTTGTATCCGATATGCGGTGAATAACATATCGTAATATATGGTTTTTTTCCCCATAGCCCCAATGCATAAAATGAGACTGTTAAGTCGACCCATCGTTATAACCGATATATCGTTATATGTGGTATCGTTATAAGTGGACTGCAGTGTACAACATAAAGTTGGCCTCTTGAGATCACTCTGAATGAGAGTGCCCAGCTAAGGCCGTGATGAGGACAAAATTTTGCCCCGACTCGCCAGTGAAAGACCATAAGGTGGAGAAGATAATAACAAAAATGCATGGCTCAATGCGTCTGCATTAGCGTTAGCTTTCTTTTCTTGCAGCGAACGTCTAAGTTGTGCTGTCGGAGTATGATGCTCCACCTCAGTAACCGGCCCCTTATAGGTGACACGTTATTTAACCAGGTTAGGGGACAGTGGTCCGTTTCGACCACAAACCTCGAACCGGAGACACAACAGGCTACCTTTTGAGCTGCCCACACGAGGCAAGTGCATTCTTTTTCAGAAGTACTTCTCTGCAGCTCCGTTTTCGACTTAAATACAAAACTGGCCTTTTGATGTAAAAGTCGAAATTTCTGCTCCTCCTTCCTCTGAAGCATTCAAAAGCTGATTTACGACCACTTGATGTTAGACGTATGATTTCATCAAGTTACTGTGGTAAATTTTAATCGGCCGCCTTTCTAACTTCACTTTAAAATTGGTATCTGAAAGCTTCGATATTACTTTGGCGGGCCCTTCCCAATGGACCTCGAGCTTGTTTTGTTTTTTTTTTGGACGACCGTAGTAGCATTACCCAACTACATACATCAAATGAGTTTCTTTGCCTATTTGTCATAGTACTCCATCGACAACACTAGTGCAGCCTTCACGTGGCTCTCCACAAAATCGTTTTTCTAAGGAGGTCTAGAACATACACAACTACATGAGGGTCCTCATCGAATCCCTCCCAAAACTTGTGTAGCATTCGCAATGGTGTTCTCAAATTTCTGCCATATACAAGCTCTGCAGGGCTAAAACTAGTACTCTCATGAGCAGCCGATCTCAAGGCGAACATAGCGGGATGAATACATGCTTCCCAGTCGCATTTGTGCTCGTAGCAAAGAGCTCTCAGTATCCATTTCAGAACAGAATGCATACGCTCTACCGGATTAGATTGCGGGTGATGGATCGAGCTGTGCACAACTTTCATTCCGCATTTATCAAAAAAAAGTAGAGATAAGGCAGCTGGTGAAGACACTACCGTTGTCGCATTGGATTTCAGAAGGAAATCCGATGCAGGGAAACATAGATAGCAGTGCATCCACGACATGAGGGGAATTGAGCCCCTTAAGTGGTATCGCTTCTGAAAGTTTTGCGGCTACACAGAGGGCCGTCAGGATGTACTGAACACCTTGCCTAGTCTATAATAAAGGCCCGACGATGTCCATTACCAGGTGCTGAAAAAGTTTTGTCATAATTGGCACAAGCTTCGTGGGTGCCTTTCACTTGTCCATGGATTTCCCCGCTCTCTGACAAGTGTCGCATTAGCATTCAAAGTCTTCGATATCTTTCCAGCAATTCGGCCTATAAAACTCAAAAGAAATTCTAGCCTTGGTCTTTTTCATGCCGAGATGCCCTGCTTATGCGTTTTCATGCACTAGTTCCAATAGTTAGCGACGATAATTTCGTGGCACCAAGAGCTGCTCATACTTGCGACCTTGCACATTTGTGTAGCTCCGACAAAGAAGCCCTGCCTTCTCAAAAAAGGAAACATTGTTTTTATTTTTTCTCAAGTTCACGCTTTACATTAGTGCTTTAATCGAGAGGTCCTCACGCTGCTCCCGAATGAGCGTTTCTCGCTCAACTCTCGACAGCTCACTCCAACTTTCCACTACAGGCGACAGCATTGCACCCCTCTCGCTTTGACTTGATGGCGCCATGTCGTCTCCTCCGCCGATGAGACTGTGCCAGTCGCTTTAGCGACAGGCCGCTCGAGTGACTGCTCAAGTGACTCA